GGGGGGGGGGGGCGGTTTTTAAGCCCCCCCCCCCCCAGCACTGGCTCCTGCTTCTCACCTCACCCTTCCTGCCTCTGATCCATAGGCAGCAAAGGGGGAGGGAATGCAAGTAGTCAACTAGGCATATCAGGTAGTCGAACAGTCGCTTACATCCTTAAATTGAACCTCCCCTCCCCGTGTAAGGTAAAGGGTGGTAACTAGGCAACAGAGTGGCAACCTGATATGTGAGAGGGAGGTGTAACTTGTTTGTGCCTGTGTGTAGAAGGGTGCCCTGAAGAGTGGTCTTTGGCTGATGGGGGGGGGGGGAGACAATGCTGGATCCATAGTATTGACTGAGTTAGTCCATTGTCATGACGTACATATGCATCCTGGCGCAGCGGCAAGTTTGCTCGCTGACAGCTATTACTGTACGTCGCTTGGCAATAAACCTGGCCTGGTGCTTTTGATCCGTACCTGATTTGTGTTCTCTAGGGGCTCTCTCGGTGTCTGCATTGTTGACTAATTGTGCATGGTTAACACAGTAGACAGAGGAGCGCGCACACACACAGCTCAAAGTTTATTGTCGTTGATGGAGCAGAAGACCTGTCAGGCACACCTGATGGACTGAGAACGTGCACCACTAGTAGAAACAAACACCTAGCTAAGGGCTTTCTGCTAATCAGCTGGGCTGTGTTGAAATCTCTCTTGCAACTTGCACAGCTGCAAAGCCCAGCTCATGCAAAACCTCCACACGTCTATTTTTAGCCCCAGTGTACAACCCCAGAATCTGTTGATCTGGGCTCTGAGATTTGCTACCATGGTTTTTTGGTGGTCTTGGTCTGGCTTAGGTTTTTTGCGGGGGAGGGGTTATTTGTGGTTTTTTTGGCGGGGAGGGAGGTGGTTTGTGTGTTAGATTTTTTTTATTTTATTTTATTTTGGTTTTGTACCCTGCATGTTTTGTAATGCATCTAGAACAGTTCTGGAAACTGCGCAAAAGAAACCTTGGTAACTTTAAAGAAAACTCTCTGGCCTGCAGTAGCACAGATTGTGATTTGCTTCCAAGGTTGGTTTGTATTTTAAAGGAATTATTCAACGTTTTTTAGGTACGGGAGGGTGTGGACTGCCAGCTCATAACACCTACCCCCTGGCATTCCTCACCTACCCCCTGGCATTCCTCCCTCACAAGTCAAGCGCCCAACAATCATGAGATGGGCTTAAAAAGTGGTAGTTTTAAACACCCAGGTACCTGCTGCCTAAAGTCACCCTGCAGGCCGGTGGCAGAGTCAGGTGACCACAGCGAAGCATCGCTGTGGCCTAGGCTTTGCGGTATAAGTTCAGCTCTGGACCGTAGAGCAGCGGAAGCACCAGAGGGGAAGAGGTCACAGGCCAGGGGGCAATGTGGAAGAATGCACAGAGACGGCTGAGAGAAGCTGGTGGATGATGTTGGCAAGGCTGCCACCTTGGACGTGGTGATGGGCCAGGTAAGCGGGGTAAGGCAGAGCTCTGCAGGTGGCAAGGAGAAGCTTGAATGATGAGAAATGATGGGGGAGGGGAGTCAGGGGACTGGTTCAGACAGCTGATTAGCAGACGCATTGAGGGGGGGGGGGGGGGGGGGGGGGGGGGGGGGGGGGGGGGGAGCCAATAGGAATTGTCCCTCTCTTAACGGGGAGGATTCCTGCAGACCAACCATTTCCAGGACGCTGGGAGCGGGTCAGTGCTCCGACTGCTCCGCGCGGTTTTCCAGCCCGGGCGAAGGCACAATCCCAGGCTGAGAGCTGCAATGAGAGCAGGGGTTCCCAACCTGTGGTCCGTGGACCCCTGGTGGTCTGCGATGGTACTGCAGGGGGGCCGTAGAACGTTTAAAAGGAAGAACCGGGCCCAATCCTTATGTTTTTTTTCCCTTTTTCCCCCCCTCCCTCAGGCAGAGGGATCCGTGAAGTTGTAATAGATTGCAACGGGGACCGCATGCTGGAAGAGATTGGGAACCACTGGGCTAGAGCATTCCT